ACCTTTGTTAACAGATATTTCATAGAATTAATTGAATAATTAAATGCACAGAGAAGGAAGCCTTTCAGACCACTCTGTCTGTAATGGTCCTTTGAATTATGATGATCCAATTCCCTTTTGAAAGCCTTCATCGATCCTTGCATCACCACACTATCAGACCATGCATTCCTGATCCAAACCACTTGCTGGTTACAAATGCTTTTCTCCATGTTAAATACATAGAACATAGAACAGTACAGTATAGCACAGTACAGTATAGCACAGTACAACCCCTTTGGCCCATGATGTTGTGCCGACCTATTATCCTACTAAGATCAATCTGCCCTGCATACCCTACATTTTACAACATCCGAGCGCCTATCCAAGAGTCACTTAAAAGTGTCTAAAGTATCTGACTCCACTACCACTGCCGGCAGCGCATTCCATACGCCCACCACTCTCTGTGTGAAGAACCTACCTCTGACATCTCCCCTATAACTTCCTCCAATCACCTTAAAATTATGCCCCATTGTAATAGTCATTTTCTCCCTGGCAAAAAGTCTCTGACTATCCACTTTATCTGTGCCTCTCATCATCTTGTATGCCTCTATCAAGTCAGCTCTCATCCTTCTTTGCTCCAATGAGAAAAGCCCTAGCTCCCTCAACCTTTCCTCATAAGACCTGCCCTCCAGTCCAGGCAGCATCCTGGTAAATCTCCTCTGCACCCTCTCTAAAGCTTCCACATCTTTCCTATAATGAGGTGACCAGAATTGAACACAATATTCCAAGAGTGGTCTAACCAGAGTTTTATAGAGCTGCAGCATAACCTCACGGCTCTTAAACTCAATTCTTGTGCCAATGAAAGCCAATGCACCATATGCCTTCTTTACAACCAATCAACTTGGGTAGCAACTTTGAGGGATCTATGGACGTGGACCCTAAGATCCCTCTGTTTCTCCACACTGCCGAGAATCCTGCCGTTAACCCTGTGTTCTGCATTCAAATTCGACCTTCCAAAATGAATCACATCACACTTTTCTGGGTTGAATTCCATCTGCCACTTCTTTGCCCAGTTCTGCAGCCTGTCAATGTCCCGTTGCAACCTACAACAGCCCTCCACGCTGTCCACAATTCCACCAACCTTCGTGTCATGGGCAAACTTACTAACCTACCCTTCCACTTCCTCATCCAAGTCATTTATAAAGATCACAAAGAGCAGAGGTCCCAGAACAGATCCCTGCGGAACACCCACTGGTCATTGAGCTCCAGGCTGAATACTTTCTATCTACTACCACCCTCTGTCTTCTATTGGACAGCCAGTTTTGTATCCAGACAGCCAAATGTCCCTGAATCCCATACCTCCTTACTTTCTGAATGAGCCTACCATGTGGAACCTTATCGAATGCCTTGCTAAAATCAATATACACATCCACTGCTCCACCTTCATCTATGTGTTTTGTCATATCCTCAAAGAATTCAATAAGGCTTGTGAGGGATGACCTGCCCCTCACAAAGCCACGCTGACTATTTCTAATCAAACTGTGCTTTTCCAAATAATCATAAATAATGTTGTCATGTTTTTTTTGTGAAACACTTTCAATCCGTACCCCCTGGTTTTTGATCCTTCCACCGATAGGAACATTTTCTCACCCCCTCGGTATCTTGAACAGCTCGATCGAATCTCCTCTCGACCCTTCTCTTATCCAATAAGACACAATTCTCCAATCTTTCTACATAATTAATTTCCTCAACCTTTGAACAATTGTCTTGAATCTTTTCTGTAATGTCTTCAATGCCTTCACATGTATGGAGTATGGAGACAACAAGGTGCAGGGCTGGATGAACACAGCAGGCCAAGCAGCATCATAGGAGCAGAAAGGCTGACGTTTCGGGCCTAGACCCTTCATCAGAAAAGGGGGAGGGGAAGGGGGTTCTGAAATAAATAGGGAGAGAGTGGGAGGCGGATAGAAGAGGGATACAGGAGAGGATAGGTGGAGAGGAAACAAACAGGTCGAAGAGGCGGGGATGGAGCCAGTAAAGGTGAGTGTAGATGGGGAGTTAGGGAGGGGGTAGGTCAGTCCAGGGAGGACGGACAGGTCAAGGGGGCGGGATGAGGTTAGTAGGTAGGAGATGGGGGTGCGGCTTGAGGTGGGAGGAGGGGATAGGTGGGAGAAAGAACAGGTTAGGGAGGCGGGGACGAGCTGGACTGGTTTTGGGATGCGGTAGGGGGAGGGGAGATTTTGAAGCTTGTGAAATCCACATTGATACCATTGGGCTGCAGGGTTCCCAAGCGGAATATGAGTTGCTGTTCCTGCAACCAGAGTTGTAGCACTGCAGGAGGCCCAGGATGGACATGTCGTCTGAGGAATGGGAGGGGGAGTTGAAACGGTTCGCGACTGGGAGATGCAGTTGTTTATTGCGAACCGAGCGTGGGTGTTCTGCAAAGTGGTCCCCGAGCCTCCGCTTGGTTTCCCCGATGTAGAGGAGGCCACAACGGGTACAGCGGATGCGGTATACCACATTGGCAGATGTGCAGGTGAACATCTGCTTGATGTGGAAAGTCTTCTTGGGGCCTGGGATGGGGGTGAGGGAGGAGGTATGGGGGCAGGTGTAGCACTTCCTGCGGTTGCAGGGAAAAGTGCCAGGTGTGGTGGGGCTGGAGGGGAGTGTGGAGCGGACAAGGGAGTCACGGAGAGAGTGGTCCCTCCGGAAAGCAGATAAGGGTGGGGAGGGAAAGATGTCTTTGCTGGTGGGGTTGGATTGCAGGATTAGATGCAACACTCCAGTTGAGGCTGAATCCCCAATGTTTACACAGCTTTAACATATATTCTCTCGCTCTTATACTCTGTGCCCCTACTTATAAAGCCCATGATGCCTTATGCTTTCTTAAGGGCTCTTTCATTGCCACTTTCAGTGATTTCTACACCTAAGAATTCAGGTGGCACTGCTCCTGTACTTCCTATAACATTAAAACCTTTGTTTTATTTTGTCTCAGATTTAGATTTTATAGTCCCATGTACTTGAGTACAGGAATATAGGAGTACAGTGAAAAATATACAAAGTCACCATTCTCTGTTGCCACCTTAGAATACAAAAAACAAGGTTAAAAACAGAAGCATAAATAAGAGAAATAGCGAGCAGAAAGTGAAACGGCTAGAACACACCCCTGCCTTCACTGCCAGAAAAACAAAGTCACAAAGTCCATCCCTCAGTCTGCGAACACTCAGGTGCTCGAAGCCCTCGCATGGCACTGCAGCTGGAATGCCACTGTCGTCATGTACCCGGGCCCAGCCATGGCCTGGAGCTGTGCCACCACTGGTGGAACGGTGTCTCCATTCTTCAGTGCTATCCTGCCTCCACCGATATCATTGCTGCCATGAGTCTGTGCTGAGCCGGTCTCGGTAAAGCAGCTGCTGGAGCAATGGATTCCTTGGCTGAAATGGCAGTCTGACTACATTCTTCCAACCAAAATGACACACTTCACATACCTCAGCCTTAAATGTCTGCTTCCGTTTGTCCATTCCATTCATCTGTTTCTGTTCTTTACAATTTTTCAAAGGGTTGCCCAATGATTTTTTTTAATGGAGGTCACAGGTGCTTTGCCCAACTGTGTGCAAGGTTTCCCAGTTTTTTTTTATAATTCCAGATAGGATACCACAATTGTTAAGCTGTCATGTGGAGAAGGATGAGTTGGCTCACTTTGTTTATTGACCCACTCCCTCAGTCGGTCACAACAAGGTTAATTTACAAAGGATCCTGTCCTTTGCTGGTACCTTCCTCCCAGACCCAAATAAACTTTCATTTCTAAAGGAGCCAATTTATCCAGGCCTTCTTGAGTTAATGAAAATGGAGGTCACTCTGATTGTGGTGCCTTATTGAACTAGACTACAGCTTATTCAATGCCTCTTCCTTATCAATTGTTAGCTTTTCAAGGGTCTGAACTACCTCCTCTTTAACCGTGACCTTGGCTTCCAAGGAGACACTGGGCACCTGGGTGGAATCTCTCAATCTTCCACCAACAAATGTATCAAGGCTATTGCTCATGGAATTGTTTACAGGTCACACTCTTCATCTCATTTCCCCATGTAAGGTCAATGTGCCAGGGAGCGGGCTTTTCCAACATAGCTGGCTTTTTCTAGGACACTTTAAACTGTGCACACATTGGGTTGGGAGTGTCAGATCATAACAGTGCAAATGTCATCAACAGAAAAGAGCTGCATTCCATCAGATCATCTGTACCACATCCTAGAAATTTATGCCAGGTACCCTGGAAGTGGCCATGATGCCTATATCATTGAGAACTATCATGTTCCTGCTTTGTTTTACAGGTCAGACGCCCCTTCAAGGATGGTCACTGGGAAAGAAGGGCTATCCTTTGTGACCCTAGCTGATTTCTCAACCGACCAACTGATCCATTTTCTCAATAAACATTTTGAAAGGACAGTTTTAGCAATTTATCATACATTGCGTCCAGCAAATTCAGAAATGATTCATTACATCTGTCAGTATGATTCAACATTTTCTCATTTTGTTTATTAAATTTTATACACACATTAATAATTGAACCCAATTCCTCAACACAATCCCTGATTGAGCTGGAGTGCAGCTACAAAGCATCCCATTCTATTACTGAGGCCATATTGGAGGAGATGACAGGCCTGCCGAAGATGTGGTTCTGGCACTTGGGTCAGCCTGGGAGTAGTTGTATATTACACCCTGGACAGAGTGTGTTGTATAATCCTTGTGCACTGTGCGCTGCACAACTGGAACAGACAAAGACGGAATGTGATAGATACTGCCAACCAGGCAGAACAGTGGCAACAGAGAATGAGCAACACGGAGTTGTGCAGCCAGTATTTATGTGAACTTATTGTAAGTCCCATGCAATTGCGATCTCACATTTCATATGCTTGAGCTTTAATTGAAATAAACATTTTGAAAGGACAAGCTTAGCAATTTGTCTTGCATTGCGTCCAGCAAATTCAGAAATGATTCATTACATGATTAGACATTTTGTCATTTAGTTTATTAAATTTTATGCACACATTAATAACTGAACCCAATTAAGAACAAGTGATCATAGCAGAAGCATGCAAACTAACTTTACATGGACAAAATAGATCAATCATTGGAGTTAGAAAGATCATCATTGAAGAAATCAACAACAACATTCCTACAGTCAATAATTCTCATACTGTGAAGGGGAAGAACTGTCAGTGGGGAGTTAGTGAGTGAGGGGCTGGAGCTGCATTCAATGGTCTGGATTGTGAACTCATCATTAAGCTGATAAAGTATCTGTCAGATTGTAAATCTCACCTTAGTCCTTTCAAATAAATACCGTCTTTATATTGTTGGTGGGCATGAAGGAGAATTCTCATTGGCCAAGAGCTATCACAGGAGGTCAACCAACCAACTTCTGACAAGCAGAACGTTTTGTTTGTTTAATCAGACAACCTCTGAACTTTTATCTTCCCAATGTTAAACAGTAGTTGCGTATAAAATCCACGAGATTCAGTTTTGCTCCCAATCAGTGAAAGTGTCCCTGCCTCTGGGTCAGAAAGCCAGGATTCAATTCCCATCTGCTCCAGAAGTGTGTCATCACATGACAGAAGAGGTTAATTAAAAATAACTATAACTTCAAGCTTTATTTGATACATAGTGGTGTGTCCAAATGGTGAAATTAGGTCCTAGCCTTTACAGTCATGGATAGGAATCTCAAATTATGAGATGGTTTGAGGCCTGTTGTGATGCAGTGGTTTTGGATTACCATGTAGATGAGAAGGCGAGTCTCACCTGCTCTCAAGATGCATCATAACATGAATGTACAGATTGGTTAAAAATATCCATGATTGAAACTAGATGTGACTGTGAAAGATACCAACCATTGTGTCCTTAAATGAACATAGATATTCAATCTTATGGAAAGTAGAGTCACCACAGTATTACCAGATCTGCAGAGCAAGACAACTAGGTGGTTTCATTCATGGTTCACCACAGCTCAGGTGGGAGAAAAGGCTGAGAAGGGGAGTCCTTCACACTAACCTCAGTCAGTGTGGGAATTGAACCTACAGTGTTGCTGTCAGTTCTACATCAGAGACTAGCCATCTAAGCTAACCAGACCGTCTCATGGAAGTCCATAATTAGATATTCCCACTGCCATGCAATGGTCTTCATTACCTACAACAGATTTTTGCTACATTGCTCATGTCTGAAATGTGCTACAGGTAGAAATGTCAATCGTGAAAATGTAACTCACAGATTTATTGGTAACATCTCAACTCTTTGGCTGAATCACTCTGGGGAGCCCTGAAATAATATTGGGAATCTAAAACTAAGCCGGATCCCAAGATCAGACCTGAGGATTGATTTGTTCTGCACATCAGGAGAATGGAAATCAGCTTATTTATTGTAAAGACCTGAGAAGTGACTCCTGATTACCCAGCTCAGGTCACTAAGGAAACTCTGAGGCAGATCATGCTAACAATGTACTTGTAAAGATCATTATATAAGTCTGGAAAGAAAGCAAAGTAATTAAACTGTAAAGTAAGCAGGCTGAAAAAATAATCTGTAATAGGTTAAAGGAACCTCTCTCAAGTTCAAACTGAATTTAGCTGAAGGGTGATATTTCCCAATAAAGTATTTCTCCCATATTTGGCATCCTGCCCCAAGACACTCAATGTAGCCCAATTTTATTTTATAGTTACAAAATTATGCTTCTGCTCACTCCACAGTATTATGTAAATTGATACACCCAGGTATTTGACAAGTAAATATTCCTGTTTGACCTTTGTAACCTCTCTAGACATTTTTCTTCTTTTCAGATAGAATTGCATTTTTTAGTTTCAGACTGTTTTCATTGAGCTGAACGTTTTCCAAGTCATTTTTTGATGCAGATTGAATGCATTTTCCCTCATGCCCTTCTGGTCCACATCCACCTTCACCTCCTTGTAATATTTTAATTTGAACATTTTGATGTCCAGTTGACTGGAGATCTAAAAGAATTGCAAGACAAGATCATCATTTTTATTTGCATGTCATAACATTAAAGATTTATTTAACAATGCTGTTTCCATCATTTGGAATGAATGCGAAAATTTACAGAAAGAGAGGGGTAGCCTGAGATAATGGTGGGAATGCGGGTGTGGGGGATGGGTGGAGGATTTGAAAGGTGACCTCTTATTACAGATCAATGCTCAGATGACGGAGGTGGCAATTTCTGTTTCTCTGTTTAGATTTAACCTTTTACATCCGATGCCAACCATTGGCAGTCCTAGTGCGATCCACTGGAATTTGGCTCTTACCTATACAGCCAGGTGGTTCTTGGTTCCACTGTCCATTACTCAGACAGGTTATCGTATCCCCTCCCTTCAGCTTGAATCCAGACTCACAGGAATACCTGACCGAAGGCTGACAGATCGAGAAATGGGCATGCTTAACAACAGGAACAGAGCCACAGGGGGTCACTGTAGAGGGAACAAACAGACATTAATTAGGAGAGAGGAAAAAGGTAACCTGGACCTGTTCTATTCTATTCTCCCTTTATGAAGGGTTACTGAATCTGAAAGGTTAACTCTGATTTCTCTCCACGGGTGCTGCCGGACCTGTTGAGACTTCCCAGCCATTTTTGTTTGAGTTGCAGCGTCCACAGTTCTTTTAGTTTTTTTCCATTCTATAAGCTGTTTGGTTCTGAAAAGGTTAATGAGGAGGACTGCAGTAAGCTTCACTCAACATAATGATGTCAAAAGGACTTGGGTGAGGAAAACATCTCTTGATCTTGAAGGATGTAGATCCAGCATCTAGACCTCTTCATGGTCTTAGGAATGATTTCTGTCATATTAATGTAAGGTGACCCTGGTTGTTATCATGAATCAACCACATCTTGTTGATACAGGAGCTTCCTCTCATTAGACAACCACACCAAAGTAAGCCCTGTGGACTCCAACATAAAAGGGTGTGACAGCAAATCTAACTTATAGTGACTAAGAGTCCAATTAGTTCATACAACATGATGAGCAGCAATATGGAATTGAACTTGACGTAGCTGAAACACACAGATGGTAGACAGCAATGCAAATACTAGCGAACTCAGAAGAAATTTCCAGACACAGCTTTAAGAGAGTGACTCATGACAGTCATCAAATAAAAGCTAAACAATCCAGAAGCCTTCAGAAGAATATCCTTCAAAAAGAGTCAATGATCACTGCCAAAAGCATTTCAGACCTGGTAAGAGAAGAATGGAAACAGTTGTGTGCTTAAAGATACGTGGAGCTGGAATGTTAGCCATATTTGGCCATTACAGATTGCATCAGGTATCGATGAGATGTAGGAGTGGCCCTGAGAGTGCGAATGGACATGGCAAGCTGCGAGAGTAAAGTCGAAAACCCTTCTGGATAAAGGAAAAAATCTAAAAATAAAGAATTGTGCACTCACAGGCTTAGAAAGCGAGCAGCAAGTGGAGCTCAGAGCCAGCATTGTTATCATAGCAAATGGGTAATAAGGGAAATCAAGGGACAAAGAAGTAATTTTAAAACATGTCAACACACAGGGTACATCACAAACCAGAACCAAAGCAATAAAGGAATGATTTCGAAGCCCATGTTGACTGGGTTTAATGGAAGAACAAAATAAGTAGACTATTGGGCTATATTAAGAGTGAGAGATCCATAACTCAAATCATAATAAAAGAAGAAAAAGAATGTTAAGGCCGCAAACAGGGGTATTCATTCAGGAACGCCATTAAATAGGATGGGAATCAATTAAAACTATAAGGCAATTGATTAAAAATTAGTAAAAGTGCCACCGATAGCTGAATGATCTATGGAAACTATTAAGTGAATTGGTCTACGGGAACTGCAGGAGGTGGAATTCATTAAAGCCATTAGAGAGGATGGGAATGGTTTCTCAGGCCGTGTAAAGTAGGAGTTGTCTATTTTGTTCACAAAACAGTGGGAATTCTTTATTCTAGCCACAAAGACAAGGGCCCTATATTTTAAAAATTCATTCATTTGACACAGGTGTTTCTTGCTAAGCCAGCATTTATTGTCCATCCCTAATGGACCAGAGAGCAGTTTAAAGTTTTTTGGTTATTATTAAACCATTAATCCCAGATTTTTTCAAATTCCATCTACCATGGCAGGATTTGAACCAGGGTACTCAGAACATTACTGAGATCATTTGGTGAATCCATCTAGTGATAACACCACTAGACCATCACCTCACTGATCACAAAAGGTGGGAAGTCCCTCCAATATAGTAGTACTGAGAAGCTGGATTGCTATAATACAGAATTCAAATGCTTTAAAGCCACATTGATAAACTGAAGATGGAAAGTCTTTAGATTTAGAAGACAAAATTGTTGCAGAAATCATATTGCCAGGATTTAATTTCGGAGATTGGCCAAATAGAACAAGAATTGGACATCTTGGAATAATAAGAAAAGAGTGCTTGAGACATAAAATTTCTTTCAAACTAGATACTACATCAGAAGCTGAGCAAGTAAACACACTGTTGTACTCAAATAGGGCTTTAAATGATGACAATTACAACTCACGGAGGCATGCATGAAGACAAAGATATTCTTAAAGTTCTGCAAGCTTTTGACAATTCCTTTAATCTTAGAACAAGCAACATTCTGAAAAGAGAAAGTGTTTACAGAAGAAGTGTTTAGCATCCAGGACAATCCATAGATTATTTCAAAAATCACCTCTACAGATTGATGGAGAAATATGACTATGAGTTCAACTTTGAATTCTAAATTTATAAGAAAGAATTGCTGTTGTAATTCCTGAAGAGTGTCTGTCAGATTTATTACAGTCCAAAGAAGATCTGATTTTGGAGAAAGCCTTTCAGATTATGCGAAAAGCAATAAGTGGAACGAATCAGAGAGAAATCCTGAGAGGGGAAGAACAACCTTAGCACTGGAGAGTAACAAAATGTATTTGGTTTGTAAGATACAAAAACCCTAAAGATACAAATAAAAAAATCAGTAAAGGGACAAACAGTCTGTGGTGATGCTGTGGAAAAAGGAAACATAATGATGATGGTAAAGGATGAGATAATGACTGTTTGGACTAGGAGGTGGATAATGTATTAGGTAATGTTTCTGAAATTGTTAATTTTGTGGACTGCACTAAGCTCCACTCAATGTGATGAGGTCATAAAGCTTTGGGCCAGAAAGGCAGAACCAGTTTAGAATCTTGAAAAGGGCTGACATGTTATCCTAGGTGTCCTCATAGACTTTGTGGCAATGTCTAACTTACTAGCTTGATGGTACCAGATTGATGTGATGAAATAAACCACATCTGGTTTTTAAAAAAAGCCTCTTTTCATTAAGACACATCGCCTTAAACCAAATCAGCCCTTAGACTCAATCAAGAAAAGAGGAAGATGGCAACAAATGATTCGAAGCTGGTACTGGTTTGCAGCACAACACATACAGCAGTTAGGTAAGCTGGTCTGTTTTAATAAGTCTAAAATTTCCTGCTGCTAAAGACTTTGACCTTAAACCTTTGTTTTCTCCAAGTCACTAGAGCAGAAAGAAAATGTTGCAGAAGAAATAAACACTTTTGAATAAAACATTGTATCAATCATATAATCAATAAAAAAGAGAGAATGTTTCATGGAGTTCAGAATCCAAGTTCTAATATTCCTTTTGCCCATTCATTACACCAGCAGATTTTGATTATTTCATCCTCAAACATAACTGAATGATAATGCCAGCTTTCTAAAGACTGGGCCCAGTCCTGTTATCCCATACCTTGTGTATCCTCCTTCCAGGCACTCAGGTTGACCTTTGGGATCTCGCTGCAGTGTACATATCCTTCTGGGTATTGTTGGAATTTAAAGACATTCCGAGGAAGAAACTGAATCCCTGTGTTATCACAGATTATCCTGGACATGGAGATTGTTTGAAGAGCCTGACGTTGGCTACCGGAAAAGATTCCTCCATTTTCCCACCAGAATCTGAAGGACAAAGGGAAGTTTGATTGTTAAGCACCTCACTTTTTCAGATCAAGACTGAAATTGTTGTTGGCAGATGGACAGGACTGCAGACGAACTATCGAAGCTGAACAACAGAGAAGGTGATAGGGGAAGATATTTACTGACCCCAATGATGTACGCTTGCATTTCTTGCACTCGAAGGAATAGATTCAATTTGAAAATTTAACCAGGATTCATTGTGTTCAGTGTAAGGATGGATACCATCGTTGTCTCCTTTTCTTTCGCATCATTTTTACTTCTCTCCTGTCCTTGACCTAGTCACAGGCCACCAGAGCTACATTCCACTCGGGCAATTTATGTATCATACAATAGTGAAGCAGCTGGTTATTTTCTAAGTAACTTTTAATGTAGTCTCCACCGTATTTTTCTCTCTTTCTGACAGTCTTCTGTGAGATTTTCCTTTTCTGAACAAAGATCATCAATCTAAAATGTTTTTCTAGAAAACTCTTTCCTGGGTTGTGGGCTTCACTGTCAACACTTGTTGCCCAGCACTAGTTGTGTTTGAACAGAATGGCTTGCTAGGCCATATCAGAGAGTAGTTAGGACTCAAACAACATTCCCACAGGTCTTGTGTCACATGAGGGCCAATTCCACTTAAGGATGGCAGATTTGCTTCCTAGAGGACACTGATGAACTAGATGGATTTAATGATAGTTTCATAGTTGATTTGTTTTTAAATGACTGGCTTTTCAATTCCAGGTTTATTAATTGAAATCAAATTCCACATGGTGCTATAAAGGGATTTGAATCCAGACTCCCAGAGCAATAGCATGAGCCTCTGGATTACTAGTCTAATGGCATCATTACAACACGATCTCCCTTTCTCTACCACCTTCACTACACAGGTACTGCCTCACCTACTGAGTGTTTGCAGAGAGAAATGTATAGAAGAGAAGGTGGCTGAGAGGAGATTTAATAGGGAGCTTCAGAGCCATGAGCATGTTAGAGTAGTTAGGGAGAAGCTGTTCCCATTTGTAAAAAGGACAAGAACGTGAGGGCATAGATATAAAGTGATGTGCAAATGAAGCGAAGACAATACGAGAAAAAGAAACTTTCTCACATGGATGTAGTTAGGGTATGGAATACACTGCCTGGAAATGTGGGGGAGGCAGGTTCAATTGAAGCATTCAGGAGGGGCATTGGATGGCTATTTTGATGAAAATAGTGTGTAAGGGTGTGGGGCGAAAAGCAGAAGATTGGTACTAGGTAATAAAACTGGCGCAGGCATGCTGGGCCGAATAACTTCCTTCAGCACTGTACCGATTCCGTGAGAGCGAGCTACCATAAGCTGATACCTACATAGTTAGACAATAACTCCAAACAACATCCTGTTGTGTGTTGATGACTGATGATTCCGCATGATTCTTGAAAACAAAACCTTCTGGATAAAACTTTTTCCTAGCTGTGTCTCCCAACGATATGAACTAGACACTGACTCTGGGCTGGAGGCATTGGCCAACAGACAGAATGCTTAACCATCCCTGCAGGAAGCAGGCTGAGGAATGCCATGTGACTGGTCTCATTACATTGCTGCCAGGAAAGGGCACATCCAGAGCAAGGGATTTCTTTTCGTAGGGTTCTTCTTTTATAGAAGGTGAACATTGCTAGCATTTGCTGCACTTCATAATTGCCCTCGAAAAGGTGATGGTGAGCCACCTTCTTGAATTGCAATCGGTCAAACTTGTGTAGGTACATTTACAGTGCTATCAGGAAGGAAAAGAGAGGTGAGGGTATCCCTCTGCAACAGGAGTCCCATATTCATTATCAGGCCTTAACTTGAATACAGTGCTCGGGCTCCCTTCTGAAACAGAGGAGCTCCAGGATCAGGAACGGCACAGTGACCGCAGCACCATGACTTTAGGACCATACTTTCCCCATTGCAATGGGCAGACCAGGTTAGATCAGCCATACATGTTCAATAATTTAACATTTTCACTCTGGAAGTATCTTATTGTGTTACATGAGATAACCAGGTGTTGAGCTGGATGAACACAGCAGGCCAGGCAGCATCAGAGGAGCAGGAAAGCTGACGTTTCGGGTCTGGACCCT